CATCTGCCATCATCAGGCTGATGATGGCAGATGAGATTCTGCTGAAACGTCGCTACAACTTTAAAAGCACAACTACTATGACGTGGGAAAATACCCGAACAAAGCTGAATGCCATACATGTAAGTACCCACGAAAACATATATATATGTGTGTGTGTGTGTATACACACACACACACACACACACACAGACTATTTTGCAAGATTCTGTTACCGTGGTTTCATCATCTAACCATTTAGAGTCATAAGATGAATAGCCATCTAAGTCTAATAATTAGTTATATCTCATAAATTGAGCTCCTTTCTCTCTTTCAGCAAGAGCTTATAGATAGCATTAGTCGAAAACTAAAAGTGCTAAAAGAAGCTCGAGAGACACTCTTGGAAGACATTCAAGCCAATAATCTTCTTGGAGATGAAGTGGAGGTGGTGGTAAAGGAGGTCTGCAAACCCAATGAATTTGACAAGTTTCGGATGTTTATTGGAGATCTAGACAAAGTGGTTAACCTCTTGCTATCACTCTCTGGTCGACTTGCCAGAGTAGAAAATGCATTAAACAACTTGGATGAAAACGCTTCTCCCGAGGAAAGGGTAAGGCACTTGTATTGTCATGTGAGGAGGAACTGTAAGTGCACCATGTTATTTTGTTTTTCCAGCTCAAGTGTATACTTAGACTCCTGTCTTACTTAATAGTCGTCTTGGTCAAGAATAAGAAATCAACTTTGCCCAAAAACTGTTATGCTAGAGAGATATTAGTTCAGCAGTGATTTTCTTTTACCTAAATTGCTTTATATGCAAAACTGTTGATCAATCCTACTATAAGAGAGCATTTTTCCTCCTCAATTTAGTAGGTGACGACTGCTTGTTGTAGACGTTTCAGATTCTAAGCCTCCATCTTAGCTAGCTGCAATTCTAGAAGTGAAGTTGGAGGGGCTGGGGCATTTTGAACCAATCAGTTTTATAGTGTGACCAAATTAAGTGGATCATCCCCAAATAAAGCTCTTAAGGGAATCTGCATTCTCCAACATATTTTGGACCAAACCACAAAGAACCAAGAAAATAATACTCACTTAACCTCTGAGGTTGTACCCATTTTTAGGGTGGTTGTTCTAAGATGGTAATGGAGCAGAACAACTCATGACAAGACAGTGTCCCTGAAGACATAATTTAATTCGAGCTTGTAGAAAAGAACTCTAAAAATAAAAAGGCTCACATAGCAGACAGTTAATCAAATCTTCATCAAGATTTTTGAGGCATATGGGAGTGCTTGCTTAATCAATCAATCAATCAATTATATAGTATAATTTTTTAAATGTTCTACCAAATAATAAAATTCAGAAAGCTGTTTTTTCATTTTACTATTTGCTTGGGAAGCATGTAGGCCTTCCTAAGATGTTTTCTTTTAAACAATGATAGGATGATATTCATTATGGAAATGGAATATAAAGCTAAATGTATTAATCACTACAATTTTCCTGTTCTGTTCCCTTAGCGGATTCTAGTAGAAAAACAGAAATTACTCACACAACAACATGAAGATGCAAAGGAGCTGAAAGAAAACCTGGATCGAAGAGAACGCATTGTCTTTGATATTCTGGCCAGCTATCTGAGTGATGAAAGCCTTGCCGATTATGAGCACTTTGTCAAAATGAAATCAGCCCTCATAATAGAACAGCGAGAGCTAGAGGACAAAATAAAACTTGGGGAAGAGCAACTCAAATGCCTGACTGAAAGTCTCCAGCCTGAAAGACCCAAATAATGATTCAATAATCCTGGGACTTTGTTTTACGTAGTTTTATTTGCAAACCTTGAAACCTTTTATAGTTTTTTTAAGACAGAAAAGAGACCAATATACACATGAGCACTGTTCCCTGATTTCCCAAAAGGGAATAAGAAAACTCTTTTAATTTTAGAAACTTGGAGAAAAAGTACTTACATTAAGCAGACAAAACAACTTTTCCAACACTATGATTAGGCTGGTGAAATACATTGGCACTATTGTACATTTAGATACTTTTTTAAAAAAAGTAATTTTGCATGATATTAGTCTTTTCAAAATTATTTCAAAACCGTTTGCTCAAGTAAACTTTTAATTATATCCAATTAAACTAATTCAGAATGTACCAATAAATTGGTATATTTCTGTGGCTTTGTGAATTTTAAAATTCTAATGAATTATATCTATAGTTCATTAATTTATCACTTCAGTATTGATGGCTCTGGAAGAGATAAGAAAGACAACTTTAACTCAAAGCAGTTTTCTTATCTGAATAAAAAACTGAAGGATTGATTCTTATAAGTCTAAGTTTGTAATATAGTGCAAAATTAATACGACATTTCATTAGGTACTATTTGCCAGGAGTTTTGTTAGTCATGTATTTGTAGATTGTTCTGCATATTCTTCATCTATATGTTTTCACCTGATGACTTTGCCTTTAAAGATCAATGTTTGTCCAGTGACTGCTATAAGCTCCTTGTTTTACTTGGATACCTCTGTGCTTTGTTTATATTAACAAATGATATAACAGTTTGATCTTATTTTCTAGTCCAATCACATGTAGGGACATATTAACACTGTAATCTAAAAAAATATTTTTAAAAAGCCACTTTAAAACCTTTTACATGATAAGGATGCAATAACTGTTGATGTATTAACCAACTTATAAGTAATGTTCCTTAACATTAATGGATGTTTGTAATGAATAAAGATAATTGTTATGTCTTTTCTATAAGGTATTTTTAAGACTTACTGAGAAATAATTTACCTAAAACCTTGAGCCAGTACTGCACAGTACCCTCATTTAGAAGTTAAATTAACTGCACCATTACAGAAGAACTTAACTGTGAAATCATTCCACAAGAATAGGTACAATTTCAGCTGTTCTGATTACTCTAGCAATAAAATGGTTAGCTATAGAAGAACTAGCCATAATTGATTCCACATAATCATGATTTCATAAGTGGATATCAGTCAATCCTGTGCATATAAAGCAAACCTAGGACTCATACCACAAGACGCATTTATAGGATTGCAATCATGTATTCTTGATCGGTCTTTTCCCACAAATATCAGTGCTAATTCATACATTTGATGCCATTCCCTTCTATGTTGTTAACATTATTTTAACAATTTTCTCTACTACTGTATTTATATCTGACATCATTGTGACATACATTCTCCAGTCCATATTAGACAAGTGTTCCATTTTGTTTCTGGTTTAATTCTTATATATATATATATATATACAATATAAAGCAACATTTTTGTTCCAATCAAATGTAACATTTTTTTCTTTAACTCTTTAAGGAAATAAAAGTTTTCTGTGATGATTCAGTTTGTATATGTGCACTCAAAATATAACTGGTATGTACACAGTAATTTGCATTTAAGTCATGTAATTCATATGAACTTAGTACATAAATTAATGTATAATTATATTTCACTTTGCATAATAATATATTTAATCATTACCTTTGGTTAAGCTTGCCATTTTTTTGTTTGCTGGTTTGGCAGGCTCTCTGGAAAGAGCCGGTAAAGGGATTCCCTCTTCTGTATATATACTTTACAAATATCTCTACTGTTTGTTCTATCTGAGAGTTAATCTGGTGCTAATGTCTTGCTTTGGCATCATGAGTGAAGGATTATTTCACTTTATACGTCATTGCAGTATTTAGACTTTTTGTACAGTAAAAAATATATTTTGATTTTTTTTCCTGTGGTCCATTTTCCATATGCTACACAAATCCAAACAACATATTTCAATTTCTTAATTTTTGTTTAATTATCTACCTACTGACAAGGTTATATTGTTTTATCAAGGAAAATAAAATAAAATAAATACTGTGCTTGAGTATTGAGTGGTGTGTTAATTTTAGCCATTATGTATATTAAAAAATATAGAAAAAACAATTACTACCCACCTGCCTTCAATTGAGGACCTGTATACTGCATGAGTCAAAAAGGGCTGTGAAAATATTTACAGACCCCTCACATCCCAGACATAAACTGTTTCAACTCCTTCCCTCAAAACGACGCTATAGAGCACTGCACACCAGAACAACTAGACACAAGAACAGTTTTTTCCCAAAAGCCATCACTCTGCTAAACAAATAATTCCCTCAACACTGTTCAACTATTTACAAAGTGCACACTACTATTACTGTTAATCTTCTCATCACTCCTTATCACTCATCCCCTCCCACTTGTGACTGTAGGACTGTAACTTTGTTGTATCCGTATGATTTATATTGACTGTTTCCTAGTATGATTTGATTGTTGATTGTACCCTATGACTATCATTACGTGTTGTATGTTATGATTCTTGATTCTTAATGAATGTACCTTTTCTTTATGTATACTGAGAGTATTTACACCAAAACAAATTCCTTGTGTGTCCAATCACACTTGGCCAATAAACTATTCTATTAATAGAATAATATTATTATTATATTATTACATAATATCATTATGTAACTGAATGTTTTTCCATTATGAAGAATGTTAATTCTACTTGAATGTTGATTAATTAGCATCAAATTATAAATCAAGATTACTTCAATTTCCATTTATTTCTTTTTTAACCAAAGACAGCTTCCACAGTAAAATAAGAAAAATACAAAAACAGTTGGAAAGTTCTCATTTGTACGTGCAATATGATAGCAATATTCAGTTTTCTAATTTGAGATGACAAATAGATTTTTTTAGAAGACATAGCAAGTTAAAGCATTAGTGTACAAAGTTCTGCCTCTTATCCCTTCTCTACTCTTCTTTTCCTTTTTGGAAGAATGACCCAACAGTGAATTTTTTTGTATCCACTGAATGCATTAAGATCATATTTATTATATTTTTCCCTTTCACTTACAAGTTATTGTGTGTGTAGTTTTATAATACATATATTAATAAATAATAATTATCAAAGTATACTGGCTTAATCCAGGAACGTGCAGACATTACTTCATTATATGTCTAGGATACCCAGTAAATATGTGAAAATGAGTATTCTGTTGACTAAGAGGAGCTATTAATTTGGAAAGCTTTTATGATTAAAAAATGAATAAAAACAAATGGCACAAACACATGTATTGGTAATTAACTGTAAATAAGTTCCCAATTTTCAAGATTTTTGGTATATAGCCACTATGTGGTTTTGCTTAGCTTTCTCTGGCAGTTAAAGTCAGAGAGGGATGCTGGTTTACATAAACAGCAGTGTGTCATTGTAGCAGAAGTGATTGTATCCTGGACTACTGGGGAGATGAAGATTCAATCATGGAATCTCACTGACAGACTTTGGACTAGTTGTTCAGTCATACCACAGCCTATCCTACATGATTTGTGGAAATAAAACAGGAAGATCCTGGTGTAGGTTCTCATGGTCAGTATCTGTTGGGTTGTATTGGAGTCAGGGTTTAGCAACTATGGTCTAGACAACATTTCCTGACATTTTGCCAGCAACTGTGGCTGGCATCTTCCGACAAGGTAGACTGCTATAAATGCCAGCAATATTTGCCAGCAAAACTTCAGGAATTCTCTTGTCTAGACCACAATCTCTAAACCCTGAAGCTCAGCATTGCCCAAGGAGAAATCCCTTTCAACACCCATAAAAAAGAAGGGATATAAATCCAACCCTAAGAAATGTAGCATTTGCCTTTTCTATTTCTCTCTCTCAAGAGTAAATCACTGACAAACTGCCTTGTCGAAATAAACATTTGGTTATTTTCTTCATTTGACATATTGTGCCCCAAAATAGGCCAGCGTAGATAGACTACAAATTAATTAATTAAAAAGTGTTAAGTTTTTGATTTTGAAAGTATATGGCATGTCTAAAACAGAGCAGTGACACTATAGCTTCAGGAAATATCATTTAAAGGTAATTTTGTTACAATGTAATCAGCATGTTATCATTTTAAACTTTTTCACCAATGACTCTTAATATAGAGGTGGTTTCATTTGATATGAGGTTTTCAACATCTGCCAGAAGTCTCTTACTATAATGTCTTACTCCAACTTCATTATTCTGTAGGATTTTTTGTACTTAAATTACAGGATTTAAGTAGACCAGACATATGAACTATGTCTAATATTTTATTTGATAAGTTTTTAATGCTTTATTAATACTTTCAGACACACTTGGATAAATCTTATTTTGCTGAAGTTCTGAAGGAACATAATGCTAAAGAAAAAGACATGCTTATTGAAATGATCATTGGCTTTAGCTTTTCAAGAAAGAAAAAATAGCAAGGTAGAGATTTCTTCTACGCTTTGGGATTGAGAGATGTGAAATCTAAAAGATCTGATTCACAGGCAAGTTTTTTGAAGAAGCGAGATAGGGTTAAACGGGGAAAGTCTACTGCGAACCTTTAGCATACAGCTGAGAACCTTTATGTATGCAAGTGGGGGAAGCAGGATACAGCAGAAGGAAATGAGGGAAAGAGTTTGCAATAAGAGACTCGGGAGCAGAAAGGAGAGATGGGGGGGGGGGGGGGGGTTTGCAGTCTTATTTCATTTTTTCCATCACAAAAATCTGCCAATATGTACAGGGGTGGAATTCAAAAATCCCAGCAACTGGTTTGCTGCCCAGTTGCTGGGTGGGTATGGCCATGATGGGCATGGCCTACCGGAACTTCCAGGAAGGCCATTTTTTGCCTTTCCAAGAGTCTGGAGGCTTCCCTGGGCCTCTGGGAGGGCAAAAACAGCCTCCCCCCAGGCTCTAGAGGCCCACTGGAAGCCAGAAACAGGCCCATTTCCGGACTTCTGGAAGGCCCATTTCCCCCCCCCCCCAAGCATACATACTATGTTTCCCCCCAAAAAAGACCCGGTCTTATTTTCTTTTGGATCCCAAAATAAGCACCAGGGCTATATCCTATTATTTGCGTTCATATTTTTGTATTTTATTCTATAATCTAATAAAAATGTTTTTAATAAGTGTTTGCTTATTTTACCTGTCTAGGCTGTCACAGAAATGGAAAGAGATCTATGATACACTTGAATTTCTAGTAATAAAAAGCTTAAAAAGGGGTGAGAAATAAAATGAGGCACAAGAATATGATTTAAATAATTTTGAGTACAACAGCTAGCAAAGTGCATTGGGAATTGTATTTGAAGTGAGACTCAAGCCAACTGTCTTTTCTGACCTTTTGATAGAAATTTTTGTTTCCATAAGATATCCTTTTCCATTTCACATATTCATTCTTACATTCAAATTCTTCATATTATAAGCAATGAAAATACTGTCTCCCTTTATTTTTAAAATGTTTGTTATGAGTAATGCTTTAGACTATTTTTTAAAACAATACAGTATACAATATAAAAATAAAAACCAAACTGAGGTCTTTTCTAAAGATCTGTAAGGATGAAGAGCTTGTAAAAAGCTCACTGCATCTTAAAAAAATCTTATGGTGTGAAGCCAGTAGTTAATGCAGCTAATGCTACATTGCTAACAGTAAAAGAACAAAAGAGTTAATCTATATTTTAAATATTTTATTTTAAATGTAGTCTCAACATTTCAACTGAAACTTTGGAGATTCCCAAGGCAACAAGAATGTTTGGATCAACATTCTTAAGAAACAAAACTGCAAAAAAAAAACCTACCAGTAAAAAGAATCATTTGTAGTCATGCTTCAGCTCCTTTAATCTAGTCAAGGCAAGTCTCAGCAAGGCTAGTTTTGGTGAGGACTGGGAGAACAATTGCTCTACTGAGAACACTATTTTCAAAATAATTATTTTATTGAAAGCTTGACCAGGTTGTAATATTTTTTTATCTCATGTATTTTTCCATATTTTTAACAACTCATTTACAACTTCTGGAACCAAGTTTAACAGATAATCAGAGTTGGAAAGGACCTTGTAGTTCATCTAGTCCAACCCCCCGCCCAAGTGGGAGACCCTATACCATTTCTAACAAATGGCAGTCCAATCTCTTCTTGAAAGTCTCAAGTGAAGGTGCTCCCACAACTTCCGAGGGTAGTTGTTCCACTGATTTAATTGTTCTGTCAGGAAATTTCTCCTTAGTTCTAGGTTGCTTCTCTCCTTGATTAGTTTCCACCCATTGCTTCTTGTCCTGCATTCAGGTACTTTGGAGAATAGCTGGAGTCCCTCTTCTTTGTGGCAGCCCCTGAGATATGAACACTGCTATCATGTCATCCCTGGTCCTTCTTTTCATCAAACTAGACATACCCAATTCCAGCAACCATTATTTATATGTTTTAGCCGCAGTCTTATGAATTAAGCTTACTTGCTTTGAAAAGAGTTGAAGCAGACCAGAGCAACTGAAATACAAATCTCAGAATTTAGAAGGTATGGGATTGTCTGAGCTATTGATTAAAAAGATAGGTACATAGGAATGAAAGTTAAAACGTGAGGATACAATTGGTATCCTTACTATTCTTTGGGAATATCATAAATTCTAAGCAGTTTGGAGAACCAGTTGTTAGAAGAAATTACTGGCCTAATCCTGTAAGGAAGGCAGGAAGGAAACATTTGGGTGTTGCTTACAGAAACTACCTCTCCGTTAACCCATATTACATTCTTGGCAGGACTAGACTTCCTGTCTCTGGAACTCCTCTGGAGTTTTTTTTGCCCTCCTTTGCTGGTACTTTGCTTGTGTGGAGTGACCATTCAAAGTTACAATGGCATTGAAAAAAGTGACTTATGACCCTTTTTCACACTTAGGACTGTTGCAGCATCCCCACAGTCACGAGGCCAGGCGAGGAGATGCGTGCCTCAATGTAAGTGATATTGAGTTGGCCATGCCCAGCCAGTCACATTACCACAAAGCCATGCCCACAAAGCCACACCCACAGAACTGGTTAAAAAAATTGAATCCCACCCCTGCAGTAGATGTGAATACATCCA